GCAACGATTGGAAAATTCCTTACTTCCCTTGACTGATCTCTACCTCAACTCTTCTACTTCTCCACGTTTCTTGTTGTTATTAATATTATTTTCATGTTTTTTCTTAACTTATTATTACTGTTATTACTTGGATGTTTTATTCTATTATTCCTGTCTTATTTTATTTTTTATTATTCTGGTGCACAGAACTGTATTAATTACTATTATTTAATAAAAAAAGGTTCTACCCGTTAATGAAGTTAAAGTTAAACAAAAGTATGGGAGGGAGCATCGTGAACCGGCACGTGGAACGGCGAAAATCTTTCGCAGGAACGTCCTTCCCTTGAAACGTGATAAGCGTTCGATTCGACATCAGCAAAAACGTTTCGCAAAGGAACGCACGTGACAGTGAGCGGCAGCGTTGCTCACCGGCATTGATACAGACACCGTATACCGTGTGCACGTGGTGGCGTAGCCACCACGAAGTGGAGGAGGGAGAGACAGGGGAAGCGTCGGTTTGAAAAGGAACGCAGACGGAAAAACGAGATGACCGGATACGCCAACTTGCGAACGGGGAACGTTCTTCGTTCAATGAAAAGGGAACAGCGTAACGCAAATCAGAGGGATGGAACGGGCGGGGGTAGAACGAGTGACTCAGCGGTGGGAACGAATTCGACGTTTTCAAAACGAGATAATTAAAGGGAAACGAGTTTAAAGCGTCTCAGATTTCTTCAACTCGTGTTAAATCGTAAAAGTCGTTCTATTCCACAAAGTAAACTAAATTTTTATTCATTGACACATTCTTCAATGTCATAGTTGAAAATGGGACGTGGACAGAATTTGGGGGATGAAAAAGGGACAAAGTTTCTTATAGAGAAGAGACAACAATCAGCTCCAAGTTCGAACGTCACTACTTGCAAACTACTTAAATCCGTCGCTGAGGGACGAGGAAGGGGAGCGATAGATGAAAGGAGTGGGAGCGGGTGTTGCGAAAGAGTCGGAGAGAAAGACAAAACAGAAATAGACGGTCCCTCGTGTACGGAATAAAGCCAGGGGAGAAGGGCGAGAAGGAGACGGAGAGACAGACAGGTCGGGGACGAGGCGGTGAAGAGGGCACGAAGGCCGCATGGGCAACGCAAGCGCGTTTCGCGAACACGTGGGTAAAACCGCCTCCAACAAGATTCGCGCATACAATGTCCCTGCTCTCGGATATAGTACGCAAATAACATTTTCACTCCCTTCTACATCTTCTCTATCTGCCACGTCACTCTACCATATACCTGCTATGTACATCCGATTCTCCGCATTTTTACAGAACACGGTGCATCGATAAGAACTGTGCAGATTAAAATCCATTCCCTAATCAATTTTTATTTTTTATTGTATGACAGAAATTAAAGAAGGAACTCGTAAAATGCTAGCTAGTAACTACGTAGTATCTACGTGTGAACTCGACTGTCTATTATACAATTAAACGGCTTTCCCATCTACTGCGACCCGAGGCTTGATTTCCCAGGACGTATCGACCAGTCATTTTATTCTTCCTTCGCATCTATCGTTATTCGATCTCTGCATTCAATCGGCTTTTACATATTAGATGTTAAACAGCTGATACCGTTGAGATATAATTATATAGTCAATTGCCGGACTGTTTTCCAGTCTGTAGAAACAGAAATCATTACGAAGACGCATCCTTGGTTCTAGCGAAATCTAATGAATCACGTGTACGTAACTATGCATACTTGTTTACTTCTACGTCTATTCTCACACCAGAGCTTCGAAGCTTAATCGCAGTACGTCTGTACTTCGTTCAAATTTCTATTCTGATCCATCGTTAATAACGAGAATCGAATTTCCATGGAAATCATTGTCAGATTTTCATATCTGAGCTTCGAATTAAGCAATACGTCGATCGTATTAATCTTACATATAATAGAACACTTGAGTCTAACGATTCGCGAAGCCTGGCAGGTACTCCTCAAGTTATTATTGCACCGGCGATCGTGCAACATATTTGCGCGTTATGAAATTGCAAGTAGAATTCCCGGTTTACTGTCAATTCGACGATTTTGAGATTCTACATAGATGCAATTTTAATCCTGTATCGTTTCTTACTGATAAATTACTGAAACCGTTCGAGAACGTAAATAGCAATCATGTTGCACACACGTTGTGTTTATTAAAGTCTATCTACACTATCGTCACGTCAACGGCACGTATTCAGAGTCGTTGCTTATTCTTAAGATCGTCTTAAGCATTTGCTTAAATCCCTGTTCCCTGTACAAGACGAGAACTGGAAATATGGGATAGACAGGGATAGCAAATTTTTAATATGATTTTAAGAATAAGCAGCGACTCAATACCGGCTGTAGGGTCTCTTGTAGGACGCACGTTCGCCAGCGGAACCATTGATGTTGTTTTTAGGACAGAGTTTAAGAATGTATAGGCTATATACTTAAACAATGCTAGCATGTTGAATTTGTT